AAATAAATGTCATAGTAAAATAAACCCAGACAAGCCCCAGGTACCTAGAAAAGGTCCTAATCCACTGCAAACCAGTAATCAGCATGATTTAGAGCAGGATACTAACAGGGCTGTTTTCAGCGAAGTAAAAAAAAAAAAAAAAAAAAAAAAAAAAAAAAAAAAAGACCAGATCATTTATCTTTTCTATTTATCTTTTCTCCCTGAGAGTTTTCAGAGTGAAAGAAGTTGAGTCTAAATTTCAGAGCATAAAACACATGTACCAAAAGAAACAGTGGAAATTTCCAAGTCATCCCTTACACACCAGTACTGTACCAAAATTCCCTTATTCCTACCTAACCTGTGACAAAGTTGGTATGTTTTTCTCTGTTAGATCCCTCATGAAGCAGTGGAAGAGTTCTTGAGTGTAATCGCATGATTTGAGTTCCCCTTTAAATAACATTAAGAACAACATAAACAGTTTCTTTTTTCCTTTCGACACAAAGAGCAACTCTATCTCTAATAGATTTCTAGCTACCCAAATTTCCTTCTCACCTAACAGCTTTATAGCCAAAGGGTTTCCATCTCTCTCTCAATACTTAAGAAAAAAACAGAACTCAAGAAAAATATCTAAGATCCAAGGTTCTAGTTATACTTGTGTGTACCCTGCCTTTTTTTTTTAAATAGCTGAGAATAATGTTACATAGGAGTGATTACTCATCACCAAATAAAGATCATACTGAACCATAAACATTCATGTAATTTTCCTGCATTTTGCTTCCTTGCATGCAATACCAGAATGGACTTGGCTCACTGAAGAACTAATTCCCCTATGCCAATTGTGTTTCAGTAACCAGTAGCAAGCAAACTCTAGCAAGATCTGAATCTGCACAAGTTCATCCTGAAAGGAAATAAAACTAGTATTTACCTTTTTGCGTACGCTTTTTCCAATATCCTTCTGCTCTTAAATCTCCCTAGGGATCCTTAATAATTCTAATAAAAAGCTTCTAACCAGAGCCCTCTGAAATACTGAAGCTCTTCTCAGCTGCTGTCTCAAGACCCTGGCCACTTCTGATCTCCAATTACAAACACCTGGTCCAAGTTTCAGTTCAAAGTCACTCATCCACTCACAAAGAAACACTCGAGATCTGTTTGAATTAACACTGTAGGTTCTCACTGGCTTTCTTTCCTTCAAGAAGTAAAATGTCATTATCAAATGTCACTATGTGCATCACAGCACCTCCACTATGCACGCTTCTGATTGACTTGAGTTTCAGAGAGAAGCATCACAACTTCACCTAACTTGGATACTGTTTTATCTTGCTTCTCTCATCTCCCTCAACACTTTACCATATCCCAGGTTAAATCAGGGATCTAAGGCTTTCAGCTTCACCCAAGATCTGACCAACTGTTTTCTTCTCACTACCTTCTCCCTCCTTCAGAGCCTGCTGCAGAAGGCAGGCTTATTCCTCAAGCTGATCCCTCAGCAGAGCTCCATAAACCCCTGACAGAAAACACTCTTCAAATGCAAAAGGTTGGTCACTGGCCGTGTACTTGTGATTACAGATAAAAGATGGTTTGTTGGTATCTGGAGTAATTTTTTTGCTCCACACACCACAGGTTTTTTAATGCAAAAAGGTACATCCCAAGGAGATCCTATGGCTGCAGATGTAGTCCCCTCCCCACTCCCCTTACATCTTAACAACTGCTTAACAACTGTGTTTCACAGAATTAATCAAGCAGATACTGCTTTGTTAAGCAGCAACGGAGTTCATCTGTGATCAACCTCCATCTTCTTCCTACTTTTCAGAAGGTGCAGATGATCTCTCACCTTATAATTGCATCTCATAAACACTTAAAAAAAAAAAAAAAAAAAAGGCAATGGAAAGCACTAAAAAAGAAATAGATTTAGCTTGCTTTCTCTTTGCTAGCTGCTCTTTATATACTCATGTACTATGAAACCAGCGTACTCGCTGAGCCACATGAAAGCTTATCACAGTCTGAATTTGAGGGAAATGTAAATTCCTAGAGTAATTTAGACAGAAAAACTGGAACCATTGTGTCTGTTAATCTCTGCTGTCCTACATTTAGGGAGTTTTTCCATCTCTCTGACAGGTTTACCCTTTATCAGGTATCCTGACCTACTCCATGAGACTAACGGTACAAGGAACCAGACACTTCTTCTAACGTATCACTAAAGTGAAACATGAGGGGCACAAACTCAAATTCTAGATTAGTATATAACTACAGATTTGCACCCTTGATGTTCAATGATACAGTTTGCTTTTGTGGATTCTTTTCCTTATCTTTCTCATAGACTTGATGAGATCGTGATTTTGCTTGCACACCACAAAAGCAATATGGATTCCAATGTAGAAAAACAGTGATATTTTAGATTTTACCTACCTGACAACACTCAAGAAAATGCTTCCACCAAAAGCTATTAACATGAACAGAAGTTATTTCTCCTTCACTAAAACACATGCAAGCAGCTCTCTCTCTTCATTCTGTTATTGATATAAAATTAAATATTTTTGACATTCATTCCCCATGAAGTATTCATGCAATTTCATGAACATTGTGTTTCATATCTGCTCTAACAGATTTTCTCTGCTTATTGTATTTATTGAACAGTCAAAATATTTGCTAATAATCTCACTTGATTAAAAAAAAGGTCAGAGCTCAGAACCAACCCTCTACGTTTTCAGTACAGTACAGTATAATTAATAGAACATAAGCAATAAGAATTTAACAATTAGAAGGGTTTCCTCCAGGGCTTTCCAATTTTCTACCTACCTTTTCACTGGTGCTATTTTAATGCTCCAATCTGCAGAATTCCAAAGACTCCACACCATTTTCTGTGCATTTTGGTTTTTGTGTGTATTTTTTTGTTTGTTTTGCATTCAACCTTTTTAGATTTTAATCCAAAGCATGTGGTTCCCTTCAGGCAACGTGTTTTTAATAGTACATAAGAGTTAAACCCTATTTTTTTTTTTACTCTACAGAGTTATGAACACTGAGGATTTCTGCATGCAAATTTCCACTTTCCAAATTCTAATTGATATGCCCTGTAGGGATCTTAAGAAATAATTATTTTCCCCATGGAGAATTTTTAAATGATATAGCATAATCTGATTTCCTGTGAAATGCAGAAACCTTACTCTGCTGTTTCTTACTTTGGTAAAACAGCAACTGCTTTCACAGGGAATAATCTTTATCTGAGAAAGCAGCAAATTCTGCACAATGAACACACCACTAATAGTAATATAATTTTATCACATACCACATTTTCCATTTAGACAGATCTATAATCTTCAATTATTTCACCCATTTTTACCAAAGGCTAAAAAATAGTTAAAGAAAAAAGAAATAAAAAAGCCACCATAGCAAAGTTAAAAAATACACCAAAAATCACATTACATTTCAATTTTACTATATATTTTACTATATATATTTTAAATCCTAGCAATTTAAATAGCCATGAAAAACAAAAACAACAATCTTGTAGTCAAAATTCCATTTTAGGTGCTTCTGCTACCAGACGCAATACTGAAAAGAATATGTTTTCAATAGAAACACTACATCTGGATGCATAATAATGTATTATAAAGGTGCACTTGTACCTTGGAGAAACAAAGCAGCTGGAAGAAACTGTTCATTAATTCTTCTTACAAGCCAATAATCTTAGAAAAGCACTAACACAATAAAGCAAATGCCCCTTTTTATACAGTTGCATGTATAAAGACATTGAACTGTAAAACTGTTAGAAAAATAGGCAGCGAAACAATGATTCACTTCAGGGAGTGTAGTGAATCAAGGTCAAAGTGAAGCAAGGGTCAAGGAGTAATGGTTTTAAACTAAAAGAGGGGAGATTAAGATATTCAAAAGAAATTATTTACTCAGAGGGTGGTGAGGCACTGGTACAGGTTGCCCAGAGAAACTGTGGATGCCCCATCCCTGGAAGTGTTCACATCCAGGCTTGATGGGGCTTTGGGCAGCCTGAGCTGGTGGGAGGGGGCCCTGTCCATGGTAGGGCGTTGGAACTAAAGGAGCTTTAAGGTCTCTTCCATCGCAAACCACTCTGTGATTTTGTAAGACAGAACACTGATCTGTGATACTTTCAGAGTATCACATTTTCTTGATATAAATTTCTTTTTCCCAAGTCTTGCCATTTACTCAACAGGTATAAAAAGGACTCCTGAAGCTTGTAATTGAGCATACTGTTAATATTTGTTCTTCACCTTGTATTTCCACTATCCTTAACCATTCAACCACACAAAAAGGGAAGAATACTTAGGCTACTGTGTAAACTGCAGTGTTCTTCAAAGAACAAAATCTTGAAATTACGCAGCCTCGAGGCTGAAGCACTCACATCAGATACACAAAAATCAGTTATGTCTCTGCTCTGAACAAAATAATAATGTAACTGCTTAAGTTTTTCATTTCTAGAATTCTGAACATGAGAAATATAGAATGAAAACACTTTTTAGAAGGTAAGTACCAAAAACGTATCTGCAGCTGTACTGTTTCTCATTCATTTGCTTAAGACAAAAGCTTAAGCTTTTTCATTGGCAATAATCAGAAGAATTAACACTTTTAACATTCACATACACACAAAAAATAAAGCAAAATGTAATTAACATTTCAAGTTCAAGTCAATATATGTACTGTGCTTTCCAACAGTAAAGACACTCCCAATTTGCTTATCATGGTACACTATTAATTCAATCTGGTTACATTTCAGAAACATAATAATGCTTTTTCAATTGCAATTATTATGATTTCTAAAAGGTCCAAATAATACAGATTATTCATAATTCCTATGTTAACCAATAAGAAATAATAAAAGGATTAACTAAGTATGTGCACTCTATTTATTATTTGGTCTCCATTTACCACATTAACATGCGTGGATGGAATGTGAATGCAAGACTGAAGAAGCCTGACTAAACACCTATGTTGTGCAACGAAAACACAGTGAATGCTGAGTGCGCTGTAACAGGAATTAATTGAAAAAGTCATACCTGTGGGCACAAAGTCTCGATGTGATTAGCTGCCATTTGCACGATTTTCATTCCATCTTCATTTGTTGACAATGAACAGGCAAGATTAGCAACCTTAAATAAACAAAGCTTTGTAAGCATATATTCATCCCCATACTCTCAAACTTTCTGAAAATATCTCTGCAAGGAAGCCTTCATTATTTAGGGAAATTAATTTGTCCAAAAACATAGCTGAACAGGAAAACTCAGAGAAAAGGAGCTGTGGAAAGCAGTGACAGTAACAAATTTCATGACCTCTCCCCAGTTCAGGTTCACCACATAATACCTGCAGCATAGCATTTAGATAACTTAGGACTTTGTAGCTTCATATGCATTGTTGTTTCTGTTGCTTTTCAGAACCTTTCAAACCATGTGTCCACATATTTTTTTAAAACTTACATTTAAGATCTTAAATATCCAGTAAGATTTGCCTTGACTTGATGAACAAAATAGAATGATTTATGTCCTGAGCCATCTACAGATCACTATTTTTATTAGCTGTAGAATTTTCCACCAAAAGAGTCATATGAATACACCTTATATTGAGAATGTAAAAGAAAACACGAAATACGTGGAAGTTCAAGTCTGTCCTATATTTAATGTACACAATGGAGATACAGCTTCCTTTATAGTAGAAGAAAAAAAAAAAATCACCTGCTACAAGGTTCAACAGTTCAACAAGTTTGAAAAGATTAAAGAAAAAGAGCATGCTCTGACTGCAGTGCAGCTCAGCACTACACACTGTAACATGCTGCCTTGATAAAGGCACAAGAGTGTTTGGGATACTGAGATACAGTAATCTTTTAATCATATTGAGCTCATGCAAGGCCCTTACGTGAACTACCATACTTGCTAGCTTCTGTAATCCTTCACTGATGTAGTTGTATTACGTTAAAGTAAACCAAGAACTACCTGAGAAATAGTCCTCCATAGCGTCACAGAAACTACCAACAGAGATACAAAACAAATACAAAGTTACTTTGCAGTTATTCAAAACTCACTCAAAAAGTTGTAGGGCCCAGGTGCTGCAAAAAAAAAAGCAAATCTTCATTTATCAACATTTTAATATACTATTTCTAACAAAGAACAATAAGTCAATGATGATCTGCTACCAAAAGCTTTTATTATTTAATTGATGGAAATAATTACACAGAATTAGCTAGCCCAAGGCCAAATAAATTACATGTCCCATCCAAAATTATGAAGAGGATGAGGGCTAGAATGAATGGCCTTGCATGTACAGCTGTGCCTTCTTAGAAATACTTATGAACCTGTTCCTGCTATTCCAACACAGTTCATTGCTCCCCACTGTGTGATGTTATCTTGTCCACAGAAAAAAAGTAACTTTTAGGATGGAAGAAATTCCATTTTTACAACTGCACTCAAACTGCACTCTCTTTTACTTTAGTCAACTGCCATGGTATTTTTAATACAGTACTTGAGAAAGATTGTTCCTAATTTTATGCTTCCACTGCTTACTCTTCAGTTTTACGTATTCCCTGGTGATGACCCAATTCATGACAGTTTTCTCAAAGAACAAGCTACAAAGGATATAAGTATTAGGAAGTTATGTTAAGTCACTTTATAACCAAAAGGAACTGGACTGCATTGTCTACATTAGAAGTCTTTTAAAAATCAATAAAAGTTTTTTTCTTTAAAAAAAAAAAAAAAGCTGTAGTTGGTGAGTCACTTTAGAATAAGTATGTTTATTGTGTTACAACATTTTGGCTGGGCATTACAAATTCATACTACATTGCTATACAAACAGCAAATTTAGTCCTTTGCCCTTCATTTTGATTGAGGTAACAAAACCTTTCATTGCCCTTAGACAAAATGGGTAGTACTTTCTGTTCTCAGCACTTGAGTGTCACAATTTCATGTTATATACCTTATGCCTAAATAGAGTTCTAATAGAGCAGGTGATTAGATTAACAGCTGTTCCACCTAAAAAACAACTATTGCACACGTCAGCCATGAATGTGAAACGTAAGCAAGCCAAGTGGTTAAAGCCTGTCTGGTACAGAGAATGATGGCTGAAACTCAAATACCTGGAGGTCTTGCAGCCTCATTGTATCACACCCCCTCAAACTCACAATGGCAAGCACCATGTACTTACAATGGTGGAAGCAACCACTAGATAACTGGAAGCATATCCTGTGCCCCATGCAACCACCCAAAACGTTATCCTGGGCCCTGAAAAGCAAGTCCTATGGCATCTTCAGGGTCTCGACCAAAATAAAAATGCAAAATAAATTAAAGAACACAATATTCTGAGGCAAAGACGGCATACGTGTGATAACCCTGCCCAGTAACATTTCAGAAATAATTTACTTTTCTCTACCTGTGTCAGGCCTGGTGCAAAACTTCATTAAGTCTTGGTCACACTAAAAGCATCTGAAGAACTAGGCTAAGGATTCTCTCTCTGGACCTCAGCGTACCTGATCTTGAAGATTCTTTCCAACCTACATGATTATACGATTCTATAAACCCTACTGACATCAGAAATTTCATGCTAGTATTGAGAAAAATAAAGTCAGTTGGAATGTTCTATTAGATTCTTTTATCTACATGACATCAGCATCTCAGATGAAGATTCTTTATTCAAGGAAACATACTAGGCAAAGCACAATGGACCTCTGTTATGCTTCTAAGAACTAGACTTGGAAATAGACTATATCACCTTAGGTATCACTAGAGATATTAAGCAGCAGGAATCTTCACAGTTTGAACTTCTCAGTTCCTTCGTTACAGAAATAATAATTAGAAACCGGATCTTACTATTTATATTCATCTTGGTGTGCTTTCAAGTCAAAAGGTAAAATAATATACTTGCAATCTTCCAAAATACATTCTCCCACTGTATAAAAGCTTTTTTTTTCATTTTGACATGAGAAAAAAATGCAGTGTTAATATGGACAGACTGAATTTTTAATACTGCAAAACTTACTACCTTACAGAAAAATGCATTTATAAGGTGATTAATAACTCCTTTCCATTTCAACTAACCTATAAGGGAGGAAAATTTAATTTTATTAACATCATCAGATGAATCTGTTACCATTGAAGCAAACAAATTCTACTTCATTTGTCTGCCACAACATACTGCTTTCTTACTGCTTTCCAGTAAGAAACAGTTACTTTATAGTCTAGTCCATTCTCAACTACCATTCTTGTTAATTACTACTGTAGAATGTTTGCTGGTTTTTTTTGTTTATTTTGTTGTTTTGTTTTACAATAAAGCCCTCTTGATAAAAGGTCACTGTATGTCTATTGTATAAACACCTGTGCTTCCAAAACAAACAAACACACAAACAAACAAACAAAAAAAAAAAAACAACACGCATACAACAAAGGCACACTTACATTGATGAAATCTCACCTATCCTTGGAAGTAAATGAACATATCTCTTCATTTACACAGCAAGGCTCTTTCAGTAAGCACAGTGTTTTGAAGTCTTATTTTCTTGTTGTTGATGCTTGACAGCTAGGTTAAAAGAAATCCAAAAATCCTAGAGATTGTGCATCTTCTCCCTCTGTACTGCAAGTGCTGCAGCCCAGCATTCTTAGTATATCTGGTCAACAGCACTCTCATCTATAGACCAGGCCAGTCTAAGGTTTGCTCTGAGAGTGAACGGATTTCTAAAAGGCCAAGTTAAGTTCAGGCATTGAAGCACTGCCAGCCAGGTACAACACAAACTCCCTAAGTCATACACCTCTGTCATTTGCTTGCCACTTTCGGGACAGTAATGCCAACCAATTGCTAAATAGTGTGGTACCCTCACAGCACATTTGAACACAGCAAAAAAATCTTACTATCAGGTAACTGTTTGTTTTTACACTTCAAATTAATTGGATGACTCACTTTTCCCTTAAACTTTCAAACAGTTACAATGTTGACAACTCATTTTTTTCCTGGAATTGAAATAAAAAAATCCAGAGGGAAAGCCCGCCTTACCCCTCCATCAGTGACCAGTTTAAGATTTAATAGTAACAACAACCTAAGCACAAATATTGACAAAAACAGTGCTATAACCTCGACTACATATCCTTAATTGGTGATCATCCATTCACATATGCACTGCTCCCAAGAGCTTGTTACTACTCATATAAAATCATCTAAAAAAATTAAAACAGATCATTTAGCAAACAAAAAATGCTAATGTACTTTCTTATATAAATTGCCTCATGGATTTTTATTTTAGTTTAATATTTCAGATTTTTTTTACTTTAGAAAACTAGGTCTCAAAAAACAAGGCCATTAAGCGTAGTGTTTGCAAAAGGCTAACACATCTTGACATAAATAAGGTGATAAAAAATAAATAATTAACCACAGATATTCTAGTTTTTGTACATCTGAATTGCCCTATACTCTGTGCCACACACTGCTTGAGCAGTTTTCCTCCTCAGAACCACTCAGTTCACTACTCAGAAAAGCCTAGGCCAAATACAAAGAAACACAACTTCCAGAAAAAGGAAGAGCCTACTTATAATCTAGTTTAAAATCTTGATTAAGAAATGTGCTGCCATATATTTTGTTGAGCAGAACTCACCCAACCATGCCATAAACCTGCTGCAGCCATGGAATGTACCTGAAGGGGTTGTGTGCCACCCTACCGCGAGGCGAGGCATTGCCACAAAATGGCGGCCTCACAAAATGGCGGCCAAGACACTGCCGGGCCCTCATCAGCGCCCCTTGTGCCTGCTTCCCAGCGGTACTGGGCCTGGCACCCCCGTTCCCCCCTCAGCCAGCACTACAGCACAGGAGGGACCTGGGTGGCCTTCATGGCACCTATGCCTAGGACAGGAGGGCATGTGCACAGAGCTTAAAAAAGCCTTTTCGTTTCAAAGCATTTTTTCTGCAAAGCTACTGTATAACGCTCTGATTTCTAAGTGGCAATGTTTTTGCCTTCTTTAATCTCTTATTTCCCACTGAACTGTTATCAGATCTACAGGATAGGCAGTAGTCTGGGTATATTGTGAGTCTACTCAAAAATCTGTCCATACTAAATTGAATTTAAATTTTAAATTGAAATTTAAAGATACAAACATGAATTGGAAGCATTTTATGAACTACT